CAAACTACATACTTGACAACTAGGAGATCAAAGAAAGCTGTAACGGGCCATGAACATTCAAATCCCACAAGCGTTTTAATATGTTTGGGCGGCCATATCTCTGACATGGAACAATAAAAGTCCAAAAAGGTAGCATATTCCCTTGGAGTCTACATATGTTTTAGACTCCATCATATGTAGCCTTTGTCAAATCGCTGCAAATGATATTGTGCACTGTTCTTAAACTTCGAAGGTTAAACCTTTATTTTGGATCTATCCCATTACCTGTAAATAGTCAGTAAACAAGAAAATCACCGTGTTTTGAGATGTCGGCCTGCAACCCATCATCATCCACTGGGCCTGGATGACATGGATAGACGTACTCGCTCATTCACCGCCGCTTGAGGCATTTTTGGCGCCTTGGTCTATGCGGTTGCCAGATATAATGAGACGGGCTAGCCCGGTGCGCGCGGAAGGGCCAAGCCGGAAGCGAGGAAGGTGTGTTTGATCATGGAGGAAGGGGTGTTTTTCGTGTGGTGGATTGCAGAAGTTTTTTTTGAATTTGGATGGGAGTGCCTTAGATAAAGAACTACCAACTGATTACCGGTTTGGCACCAAACGTGATAAGCAGGGAAAGACGCGAAAGGGTCTTGAAGGACGTTTCACGAAACACAGATCAAGCCATTGGCCATTGTCCTAAATCCAATCACTTTGTACTTGGTACTTTGGGAACATCCTTTAGAACCCGCATTTACTGCGCAAAGTAAGGTTCTTTAAGCAGAAGACCTGCCGACCTGCCGGTTAAGAGATGGATGGTTTATTTTATTGACCATTTATATATGGTTATTTAAAACAAGAAAAACGTATCATCCAGCACCTTGTGTAGTCTTCCAGGTCAAACACATCGTTCTCTCCCAAACCGAAGAAGCGAAGAACCCGGCCATGCCGTGCTCGGCGCCGCCCCGGCGCCGCTCCTCCCGCTGTGTCACGGGTCCCCTGCTGGGCCGCCTGTTGGGCGAAGAACGGCGGGAGTCTGGGCGTGGGTGGATCCACTAACATGAGCGGCTGTTCCAAACGCCTCATGGGCACGTTAGTAGAAGAAGCTACCTAGGTTGGAGGCCATCGCAAGTAGGTTGGAGGCCATCGCAAGTAGGTTGGAGGCCATTGCTATTAGGAGCAAGAAGCTACTAGGTCACCTACTGGCACCATTGGGAAGATAGAACTCCACAGTCGGTGAATCCACCCCATCGGTCGGGGTCCGGAGGGTGGCGACGGCCGCATATTGATCGAGGGTTGATCCCATGACAACAAGATCACCAGGCTTTGTTTCACTTCGAATCAATCAGAAGAATGAAACCAGGATTCTAATACATATAATCAATCAATCAAACCAGGACTTTAAGACCTAAAACACTGCAGACTGCAGATCCACATCTCAGGCTCAGGTGTTGATCCCATTATACAAGCACAGAAAAGATTGATCGGATGTTTCCGGTAGGCCTTTGTCCCCGTTCTCAGAGGTTCGCCTTTGCGTGTTCAGCTTCAGTGAATTTTGGCTCATGTAAAGGTGCGAATGGTCATGAACGTATGTATACTGTATGTATGTATGTATATATATATATGTAGTCCTGTTGTGGTTGTTCGCTAGATGTGTTTTCTTTTGCAGGAACAGGTAGCTTACTGGAATATAAGTTACGCTATGGCATGGAGCAGTCTGTTCAAAAGGCTTGGGTGCCATCTCAGGTACCGATGAGAAGGGTCTAGGGAGCTAAAGCTAGACTGGAGCACTGGTGTGAAACACCCCCTCGGTCTGAAAGACCATATAGTATCTATTCAATGAATTTGAAAAGCATTGTTGGGTATAGACTGGAGGGATTAGAAAAATGATCACAAACCAAAGATCAATTGTTTCGAGAGCAAGACATGTCGGATCACAATCTTCAGAGTGATCTGGAAACATGGATGAGCCCTCGTGTTTCCTGTTTTTTTTTCTTGGCGATTTCAACGCTTTTCTAACCCAAAGTGGTTGTGGAGAGCAGCTGAACAAATAGCACGAACGCAGCTGAAGGAAGGCAGAGCAGAGCTACACAGAATGAGAGCTTTGGAGCAGTTAACACAACATATTGCCAGTGTTTGAATCCGTTCAGGGCCTGTTTCGGGCATTTCTCAAACCTGGCAAGACCCTTTGATTCATTTGGAGGTAGATGGTTGTGGGTTGGTGCATCAACAGCTAGAGAAGGTCTCTCACACCGGCCTTGCTGCCTTCCCCTTGTGGGCTTGGCACTTCGAATGTTTTCAGCCTTGACCCTTTAAGATATCGTTAAGACGTGCTGTGTCGGTGTGCAAGCTGGTTTAGTTTCACGTGCAAACGGAATAGATAGCCACTTTACTGAAAAGTATCAACAGCAGCCAGGGTGCTTATGCTTACTCGGCTTTCTTTTCAAGCTGAACTTGGGTACCTTTGTGGTTTGGCCAGCACCAGCCTCTTGCAGCCTTTCTGGACAGCAGAGGGGGCTGCAGCCTTCTGGATGTACCTACAGGAGCAATTTCAAAAGAGGTATTTGGACTCCTATGGGCCAAAACTTAAAGGACTCTACCTTTAGGCAACTAGACTAGAGCACTTACCAGGCCGGTGTGGTTGAGGCGGTTCACTCATTTTGGTTTGACATCCGCACCCAGCGGGTGCGCATGCCTGAGCCTTTGAGCCCACAACCCGCATTCCGTGTGGTGCTAGTCAGATGCGAAGACGCAGATTCGATTGAGGAAGCGTGATGAGTTGCGTCAGCTGCTATGGAGCTGCTGCTCTCCATTGGTCTAGTTGAATGTTCTGACACGGAGAACGAATGATTCGCAGTCAAGATGTTGAGACAGTGAGACAAAGGAAAGGAATGTAGAAAGCAGACCGTCTAGGAGTCGAGGTTGGCACAAGGATCTGCTGAGAGGGAGTGCTTTATATAGTCTCCGAGACATCTGGGCCCATGTGCTTTGCTCATGGCCGCCATGGACCCCTGTGGCACCTCTCTCTTTGGCACAGAGTTTGGCCGGAAGGGTTTGCTTCCAGACGACCAGATCATTCCTAAGCGACGGATGTCCTGCCGAGTGACTTTGGGATGTATGTGTTACCCAGACGCTCCATGTGTGTAATATATGCCTACTGTACATTGGGGTGGTGCCAGGGGGGGTCAATTGATCGGCATATATGGCATACATGGAGTGTCTGGGTTATGTCACTTCCTTTGCAGTGAAGCTTCACCTCTCACGTCTTCCGATCAGATGCGGCTTACGAAGTGTCCCAACCGCACGACGTGATCAGGGTTGGTCTGATCCTTTTGACAGGTCTCACAGAGCTGCACTTGTCTTCTACAAGAAGCCTCCAACATAGGATCAATGATAGAGAGTTTGGGGAACATGTTCTACAGTTCTACCATTTGTTGGTGTGGAGGTGTCGGTCAACCTCGAAGAAGGTGAAGACGGAATGCCGGAAGCGATTAATCTGGGGTGGTTGGCGTTCAATTCCAGCACATTGGCCGAGCTTTTCTGCGAGTCGATCCTGCTTGCGATCAGCTAGACTGTTGGTCAGCTGACTAGGTGGCCGGGTCTTCTTTCGGCATGCAGCGTGGAAAAGAGCGACTGGGCCATCATCCCCGGTGGGAGATCGCGGCCGTGTGTTGGGTTCGAGTCCAGGAGAGTGTAGGTACAGGAAGCAAGTGCTTTCGGGATGCCAAGACCCACCCAGAGTCACCATGAACCTTCAGTTTCAGAGGTTTCTGGCTTCGCCGCCAGAGCCCGAACTCTTCCAATGACCCAGTGACCCTAAATCCCACCCGGTACCAGGGGAAACCATCAAACACCTGGTTTTTGCAGCAAAAAGCATGGTTTTTGTATGTGAACACCTTTGCTTATCTTTGCTTTTCATGGTTTGCTTCGGGCGCCTGGTAGTCATTCTTCACGTCACCAGTTCGGGGTAGCGTTGAGTCCAATCTCGCATGTTTGAGGCAGAAGGGACTGGAGGCTCCAAATTCTCTCTTCCCCTCCAGTGGACCGTCATGGAACTCACACCGCGGCAGGGTTTGGAGGGTTTGGCAGGTTTGGTCGATCAAGGTCCGTGCAGGTCTTGACCGGGTGGTTCACGGTGGGTGCGAGCCAAACGGGGCCTCCAGTGGGTGTCCTCCCAAAAGCCGGCTGCAGCATCAGAAAAGACCCACCAAGAAACGGTGTTTTTCCCCATGGATTTTGAATTTTCGTCTCACAAACTCAAGATTTGGAGTCAAACCCAGTAACCTGCTCATGAACATCCTCGACAGGGGGATCGTTGTCCGAGCCATTTGAGATCCATTCTGATCCATGACTCGCATGACCGGAATTGGATGCCGGGTGATTCCGGATCGGGTAGTTCCTACAGATGATCCTATATGACAGGGTAGTTCCGTCTCTTCCGGCACGCTGGGACTCGCGTGCCCAATCCACGTGGAGTGAGGCTCCCCTGGTTTCGGACAAGTGTTCTTCCTAGGACGGGAGCGTCTTGCCATCCACTTCGACCAATGTGATGTCTTCGAAAAAGAGTGTAATTACTACCATATGTATACCTGGAGCCTGAGTGACCCATCAAAACCAATCAAAACACAGGTCAGTCAGGCTCAGGTATAGTCCAGAATAGTCCAGAAACCACTTTGAGAACCCTCCATCCATTCCTTTCGTTGACCCCGACACCCGTGGCGAAACGGAGAGCGAAGCAACGATCCCCGGTGCGAAACGACGCAACAGATCCGGCACCGGGTGTTTTCCGGTCGAAGCAACGAGTGGAGTGTCTGGAGAACTGGTTTTGGAAGGCTGGAAAGAGAGTGGTTTTGGAGGTGCTGTGGGAAACTCCGAACGTCATCATCTGGAACTTGAGCTTCCGAACTCGACCGTCATAGCCATCTCCAAAAACTCTGGGTTACATGGCGAACACCAAACCGACGCCCAACCGTCAAGATCCGTCAAGCTTCGCCGCTGCTGCGCACTGCTGCGCACGGCTGCAGGACCTGAACCTGTGCAGCAGTGAGCCGCGGTCCTTCACCTTGCCCGGCGGTATGGGGAGCTTCTGAATGAACCCAAAAAGATGTGCCGCATGCGGACCGCCGGGCGTGAGCCGCGCGCAGCGACGCGGAGCAAGTGCCTTCTTTTTGTTGGGGGCAGGCAGAGGATGTGTTGTTTTGTTGCGGTGTGCGAACAATGGGGAGAATCCAGCTTTTCGCCCAAGGATATTGAGTTGTTGTTCATGGTGGTCGAAACTGTCAAGAGCCGGTCATTCTTCCACTGACTATCATGCAACGGCTTCGCTGAGGCACTACTAAACCATACAGGCTGGAGAGGCAACGCGCTGCCTGGCCCGGGGAAGATGAGCTTTTACATGCTTTTACCAAACAAGGGGCGGGAAACAAATCTTTGGAAGACCACGTGTAGTAACGTGTCCATCTGAAGATTGTAATTACCGCACCGATGGAGGGGTTCATGATGGATCTCTAGTATATCTCGCTTGAAGTGGGGAGACAGAGTCCCTAACCAAGACTTTTGAGGTTATATATATCGTTTTTCAGGAGGTGTAGAGGGTCTCTCTCTTTACAAGCATCGAAAAAAGTTGTCGCCTACAAGACTGGTGCTTTGCGGGGACATAAAACGATGTATTGTCGAAAGCCTCAACCAAAGCGAAGACGAGAACGTGTTCTTCTTCACCCCCTGGTTGAACCTCGATCATGATCCGTATCCCGGATTTGTTGTGGTGCCTATGCCTTGCGTTCTTGGACACCACCGTCCAGGACAGGGAGTCAGTTCCCAGACACGACCCGTAGACGGGACTGCCAATACCGATCAGTTGGGGTGGTGCCGGGGGGGTCAATGGGGCGGCAGTCCGGACTGCCAGTCCCATGGAGTGTATGGGGTTCTACAAGTTGGAGACGTGTGTCTTTTTTCCGCTGGTCTGTCTTAGCGCCGAAGGTCTTCGAGTTGGGCATCCCACCCACGACCGTCCCGGTCGACGACTTGGACCCCCTCCCCTCCAGGCCACCCCCCCTCCCTGGCTTCCCCTGGCTCCAAGCGAGCCAGGTCTCCCATGGTCTCTCATGGTCTCCAACGTCTCATCCCATGTAGGCCAAGAGAGGTTTTCGAGACCAGAACTAGGACCTATGGCTGTGGTGCATATGGGATGGGCGCTAGGATGGGCTGTTCAACCTTTGTTGGGGCGTTTGATCATCCCCCGTCTCATTCCCCCAATGGCTGTGGTGCCCTTGACCGATGCCCCAGGCAGATTGACTCCCAGTCTCGCCAGGTATCGTGCCCCGAAGGCCTTGTACAATGACACTTACGTGCGGCCGGCCATGTTGTTTTTTTCTTTTTGTGCCCCTGGATGACGTCCCAGAAGGGATGATTTGCAGGGAGCTTTGTTACTGAATATCAAAACACATATAGATATATTGGATGTTATTGTTCATTTCTCAGTTTTCTTGAATGAGAATAATGCATGTTCCCACTTTGTTTTCTTCCATTTTGTGGTTACCTTTGGGCCAAGATCTTCGGGGGCCACCGCTGTGTCCTCGAGGAAGCGCCGCGGAACAAACACCCATCGATCCGTCGGAAGATGTGGTGAACATCCGGGTGACCGGGTGTCATCGGCGAAGGGAATCGATTTGGGTGTTTTTTGCTGGATGAATTCGATGCTTCAAACAGATAGTGTTAACCGATTTGTTTAGAGAATCTATCACACAACCAATCAGCTTACATACAGCGGTTTCAGAATAGATGGCACACACCCGTACTGTACATGTTTTTTAGATCAGGGGGTCCACAGAAACCACCTCTTGGGCATCTTGGGGATTGTCTACTCTCCATCCACTCTTCTTTCAGCTGAAAATGACCGGGATACACTATCCACCCCAAGGGAAGAAGACACGCACATTTTGTTGACACTTGCGCATGGAAACGGCGGTTGCCACAGCGTGACCTGTTGGTTGGTTTCTTTGAGCCGTATCTCAAGCTCGGGAAACTGTTGATCCTACTACTGTAAGAGTCCAGGAATAGTCATTGAAGTTCCAAGAGTCTTCCGGAGCAGTTTGTCCTCAAAATCCGTGGGTTTTCCACGCGGGCTTTACCCTTGATCTCCTGCTCGTCTCCCTGCCTGGACCATGGGTCTCTGAGCGTCGACCGGGGTCGTCCAGCTTCGGCGGCGAGCCTGCGCGCTGGCTCAAGCAGAGGCTTTTTTCGGAAGATCAGATGAAGAAGGCAAACGATCGAACTGAACTGAAGTATTCTGTTGTGATCAACGGCACCCCTCAAGATCCGCTCCTTTGAGTAGTTGTAGTAGCGTGTAGTAGTTTTAGTAGTGGATTTGGGGATTTTATGTGATTTTAATGTCCCCAGAAGAGGTCAATGTGGCAAGTGATGACAACGAAGACCTTCTCGGTGTGAGTGAGTGCTGACCAATTCGCTCCTCGCCAACCCCAACCCAACCAGGTAGTATGTTTGCAACTCAACTAGACGACGAGTGGCCCGAAAGCATTTTTCATCACGTAGGAAGTCAGAGTGCGAGTTATCCGGTAAGTGTGCAGTGAGAAGTGTGAAGTCGAGTGAGTTGAGGTAGTGTGTGGGTTTCTGTGCGTGTGTCTATGTCCGTGTGGAAATGAGTCTGCGTATGTGTGTGTTCGTGTAAGTTGAGGGAGTGTGTGGGTGTCTGTGTGTGATGCGGCCTCCCAAACCCCCCACCGGCGGCCAAGCGGTGACAGCCCAGCTCATCGTCGTGAGCATTTGGGCTGCTGGTAAGGGGACAATGGCAGCCAGCGTGCTGGCTTACCCACTTCAACTATGATGGTACTGGCTTTGCCATCTCAACAATGGCAGCCAGCGTGCTGGCTCATACCCACTTCAACTACGATGGCAGCCAGCGTGCTGGCTTTGCCATCTGGACAATGGCAGCCAGCGTGCTGGCTTACCCACTTCAACTATGTAGTAGCCAGCGTGCTGGCCTTGCCATCTCAACAATGGCAGCCAGCGTGCTGCCTTACCCACTTCAACTATGATGGTAGCCAGCGTGCTGGCTCATACCCACTTCAACTATGATGGCAGCCAGCGTGCTGGCTTACCCACTTCAACTATGATGCTAGCCAGCGTGCTGGCTTTGCCATCTCAACAATGGCAGCCAGCGTGCTGGCTTACCCACTGCAACTATGATGGTAGCCAGCGTGCTGGCTTTCCATCTGGACAATGGCAGCCAGCAAGCTGGCTTCCACTGCCTGTTATCAAAGGCACGTGTTACTTGTACTACCAAGTCGCCAGTTCTCATCTTCCAGCTCTCCAGCTACTCCGCGCACTACAGTTATATACTACACCGTCGCCAATTCGCAGCCACTACCCACTCGCCAGTTCTCCTCTTCCCATTCCCCAGCTACTCTGCGTACTAAAGTTGTACTACCAAGTCGCCAGTTCTCATCTTCCCAGTCCCCAGCTACTCTGCGTACTAAAGTTGTACTACCAGGTCGCCAGTTCTCATCTTCCAGCTCCCCACCTACTCCGCATACTAAGGTTGTACTACAAACTCGCCAGTTCTCATCTTCCCACTCCCCAGCTACTCTGCGTACTAAAGTTGTAGTACCAACTCGCCACTTCTCATCTTCCAGCTCCCCCGCTACTCCGCGCACCACTAAAGTTGTACTACAAAGTCGCCAGTTCTCATCTTCCCACTCCCCAGCTACTCTGCATACTAAAGTTGTACTACCAAGTCGCCAATTGAGCAGCGCCGTAAACCTCCCTTTACATTTGTATTAAGAGCTTGGTCATAAGGAGGGTTGGCGTAAGCAAAAGTCTGCTGCGCGTGAGGTTGCGTAAGGTTTTTTCAACATAATCAGCGGCGTAAGGGCCAACCAATGAACACAAGTTGTTTTTATGAACCAAGGAATGATCATACATTTCTTGATCTTTGAATATGTTTCTTTTTGTTGCAGCATCCATGCAAACACCACAGGAATAGTTGTTGAGCAGTGTCCTTTGCACAGAGTTTCTTCAATACCGCAGCTGTTTGGCACAAGTCTGTGGCAGTCTGTGGCACGATGAGTGTCACATGGGAATCTCGATCAAATGGGTATCGTGGTAAGCCTGATGGGCTACCTTCTCAAATCTTCAAAGCCGATGGTCTTTCAGCAGAGGCAAAAGCAGCTGCCAAAGCTAAGGCTCAACGGTATGCTGGGATTCTTGAAAAGCAGATGAATGATGCGCCCAGGGCTTCAATTAGTAAGTTTTATGTGGTGAGTTGTAACATGTTGTAATTGTTTTCTTCTTTGCTATGCAGGGGCCATGCCTGGTTTGAGAAAAGCCACGAGGCAGTTCCAACAAGCACGAATCAGAAGGAGAATGGCCAGAACACCAATGTCACTAGTGCCAACAGCGGGAAAGTTCAGGATGTGACCCTCCTAGCTCTTGCTGCGCCTACACTTCAGTGTGCTAGTGCTTCTGGATGCGTATCACTGACCCAGACCACAGTGGAGAAAAGTGCCATGGCCCATTTTAGAATGCTTTTTGGAATAGGCTTGTCATAGCAGCTTCGGATTTAGGTTTGTTGTAGTTGTAGTCTGCCTTGATCAAAAGCAGCAAGGCACGCCTGCAGCCCCATCTGGAGAGGAAGAGAAGCCGTCCAAGGGAGAGGAACATGTAGCTTCGAAGAGTTCTCAGACTCCGACTACACCTGGGAATGAGCAGAGCCTTTCAGCTCCACCTTCAAAGGCTGCAAAGGCCACTCCCACCAAAGCCATGACCAAAGTCAAAAAGACGCATCCCAAACGGCAAGGAGGGTTGGAAACTCCGGAGAAGGACAAGGAGAAGAAGCCTCTTCCAGAAGGATGTGGCGGTCGTACCCAAAGAACTTTGGAATGCGTGCTTTGCCAACGGCCCTGGGACAAAGCCCAAAGAGGCGCTGGGTGTCCGACCTGCTTGAACTTGATGAGGAAGAAAGGTGAGCGATCCATCCAGAAAGTGCTTTCGGATAGTGCCTTGCACGAGCAAATTCGGGGTGAGTCCTTGAAGGAGAAACCTTTAGAGGACCCAGACAAAGATTTGAAAGACACTGTCGCAAAGTTAGAGAGGGCGGTTGAGTTACTCAAGCGTCGCCGGAGGTGATCAGACAGAGTTTCGATTGGGATCAGTCTAGTCAACCAGACTAGCTTTTGTGCAGTCGCACAGTGGGTACGCTAAGCTGTGACCAACACAGCTGGCTTCAAAGAGTTTGGCAAGACACTGTCCGGGAAGGAAAAAAGGAAAGACATCTCTATATATATATACTTTATATTTACATATATTTACATGCATTATACATAAAGACGATTTCATTTGTGGTGTTCACTTCATGATAGGAAATTGCTAGTAAAACCAGGGTATCGACTTGTTTGTATATTGTTTGCGCTTTCTTCGGGGCTGCTAGTAGATTTTGCATTCATAGGGAACAAACGCATTGTTGTTCTTTATTGTTCTTAGATGTACCTTGCACTTGCTGGCGCTTCTTTCCGAAGCCGTGCCGTGTCAACGATCACTTCACGACTACAGGTATGTTTTGAAGTAGATTGGTCGTAAGGACTTTTAAGTTCACACCGCCCCCAGAGCACTGACAATGGAGTGTTTTTTTGGCGTAAGGTCCGCGTAAGCTCCGCGTAAGCACCGCGTAAAGACAACTTCGGTTTCAAATCAGTTGCCCACGCATGGCGCCAAAACAGCGTGCTTTTTCACAACTGCAAGTGAAGCAGCGCAGCCGAATCATCGACAACCTGGAGTCCATCTTCAAAGCGCATTGTCCATCCATTCCTGATGCAAATCTGTTGTTGCAGCAGCTATTCCGCAAATGCTAGGCTTTCCTTCCAGGCTTGGGGCTGGATACACAGATGGTTGCCCAGCTTCTCGTTTCCTTGGGACAATTGAGAGACGCAGTCAGCGAACGACTTCGCACATCGCAAGTGTACACCCCAAGTATTTCTGTTGCTCAGCTGGACCGGTCGGTTGCCACACTACCTGCGACTCACGCAAACCTCAAAGAATGGGGCTACAACATCAGCGTTCGTGGCTACGCTGCAGCTCGCGCCTTGCCTGCTTCTGCCTCGTCCTCTGCACCATCAGCATCTGGCAATGTTGGCGGACGACCCTCGAAAGTCCACAGTGAAACATGCATTGGCTTGGTGCGCACAGTGCTTGCAAAATACTTGAAAGATAGTGAACGCATTGTTGTCATTGGCCGGGGTAGCAAGCGTCGCATGGTGCTAGCTCAGCATTTGACCAAACGACGTCATCGCATATTTTGTCTTGAGAAAGACGTGCACCAAGCAATGGGCAAGGAGA